CAAGTCTATAGCAGGGCTGGACAAACCTCAGGAGCCTTATAACCAGTTCTCCTTAAAAATTACTGCTGGCGTCTGACTTGTATGTCAGTGGAACCGGCTCCTAAAAAAATCCTGCTGGCTCGAAGGTTGCCACCTGTCCCGGATTCACCTGGACAGTCCGGGTTTTGAGTCTTGTATGTGCTGTGTTTGGGTTTCAGCTGGCCTGAACCCCAGACACGGCACATACAGGACTGAATCCGGGACAGGCGGCAACCCTAGCCGGCTCCTGAGCTGCATATGTATTTGTCCAGCCCTGGTTTATAGTAATGGTACTGCTGTCATTTTAGCCCAATAGAGTGGCGATGCTTCAACCCCCTGAATTCTGCATGGGAGTGAATGGGGGATTTAGGAGGGGAGAGCGACTGCTCGTTCTGCTTAGGAGCATTCAGCATAAGGTCCTTGCAGATACCTTTTGTTAGCCAGTTGCCTGGTCGATACGCTGACCGTGCTGCATCAATACTTTGACATTGTGGGGTACTTTGTCTAGATCAGCCTTTCTCAACCAGGGTGCATTCTGCGTTCCTCAGGGTGCCTTAAAATACCTGCCCCGCCCACACGCCAGCCGCAGCTCCCGCCCGCACAATGGAAGCGACATCCGCCGGGACCGGCAACAGCACGCCGCCTTCCGGGACCTCGTCCACTCCTCCCCCAGCCAGGTAAGACATCCCCCGAAAATAAGACCTAGTGTCTTATTTCGTGCAAAAAATAAAAAATAAGACAGTGTCTTATTTTCGGGGAAACACGGTAGTGTGAGACGGGTGACTCTGATGTGAAAGGAAGGGGGACATGTCTTTAAGACACGTCTGTCGTTGTTTGTTCCCAACTTCTGCTAATACTGCTTACCCAGCTCAATAGCTCAAGCTGAAATACACACACAACTATGTGATCAAAGGGAGCCGCTCATTCCTTTTTCCCTGCTCGGTTTTTATTTTAGTTAAGAGAGAGACTCTGAAATCAAACTTGCTGGCTTCTGCGTTTGGGTCCCTGACCTGAAATAGGTATGTAAGTCATGAAAGCCAGAGGTCATAATCCCCTCCAGGGAACTGTAAGGCTGCAGGCTGGAAATCTCGCCATGCTCTAGAAGCACGCACAGACGACTTCCTGGCCAATCAGGAGTCCGCCCAGCTTCTTGATTGGCTGGCTTGACGCTGATTGGCTGGGAAGCATCAGCATGGAGCTGGCTAATCAGCATTGAGCTGACCAGAAGGCATGGAGCCAGCTTCCCGGCCAATCAATGATGGCGACGGCTGTACCGTTCATTCAGCAGGCTGGGGACTGGAATAGACCATCCTTGGCTTGGGACCGGCCTGTGCACGGCATCCCTGCTGTAGTTATGGCTCAACCTCACTTGATTTACTAAAGACTTGTTCACAATTCTCATCGGCAGCAATAGAGGGATGGTGTACTAAAGGTCCAGTTGTCCTTTTATTGATCTCAGAGGCATATTGGAGTATTAGATGAGATGTATTGATAAATGTATTGATAAATGTGTGCGATATGAACACAGACACAGTGTTAATGCTCCTTAACCTGCTTCAGTTTCTAAATCATCCTCAGCTGTCTGCTATGATTAACGATCGTGACGAGGACACACTGAGTTACATGAATAACTTACAGGTAACCGGCACATATATGCGAAGATACTCCTTCTTGTGTGTTATGAGTTCCCTTCAGAGGTCAGCAAGGGCTTATTCCAAAGCTTAGTTACTACTTCTTGGAAAATTTTATTAAAGGAGAACAACGAGGGGGGTGATTATCTCTCAGCCTCATAATCTGAGCCGACCTGTGGCAATGAGACTGTCACAGGTCGGCTCAGTAGATCGGGAGGTGAGCGAACACATACCGGCGTTCGCTCACTTCTCGATCTATTCATGACTGTCACTCACGGCTCCCTGCAGGGATTCCCCCCCTCCCCGCTCCGATCCTCCAGCGCTGACTGGCGGAACGCACGGGGGAGGGGGCGGGTACAGCTGGCTCTGCCTCTAGATAGGCAGAGCCAGCTGTCAATCACGCAGCTGGGTGGATCCAGACAGTAATGTCGGGATCCGTCCCGGCTGCGGCGTCTCAGTATACAGCGAGCTGTAGCTCCCTATATACTTAGCTTTGGGTGACGGGAGGACGCTAGTTTGTGTCCTCCTGTTACCCTTAGGAGATCTATGGGGAAAAGCCCTAACCCCATAGTTCTCCTTTAATTAAATGTCCATTGCCTGGCCACAGGTTCACTTTAAAGTGTAAGTATTCCTTTTAGTGTTACTTATTCTGTAGCCTGCCGTGCCCTCTGTCCTACCACCGCTTCAGTCTTCTACTCCATGTCCCCAATCCAACCAGATATCACTTATGAAGCTATAGAGCAAATTAGGAACATCTGAGCTGTTCCTATTCACGTGCTGTACTATCTAGGGATGCACCGATACTAGTATCGGTATTGATGCCGAGTATTTGGGAGAGTACTCGCACAAATGCTCCGATGCCTAGCCCGATACTTGAGCGTCCGGTATCAGGAAGCCATGTAATGACGCGTTGCCCGTCTTCCTGATTGACCAGCTTCTCGAGCAATCAGGAAGCAGGGCAACGCGTCATTACATAGTGACCGGCTTCCTGATTGGCCAGAAAGCCGGCTCCATGCTCCCTCGTTACCTGGTGACAAAAGGAGCATGGAGAAGGCTTCCTGGCTAATCAGGAAGCCGGGTGGCACGTCTTTACACGACGCCCGGCTGATCAGGTAGCGAGTCATTACACGCCACCCAGCTTCCTTTATGGGACTTTCGGTATCGGCGAGTACGTACTTCCCATAGGGTTAAATTAAAAGGGAACAGGGCCCAGCTCAGGTCATTCTGACCCCTCGCGTTGTGCCGGAGAAGTCAAATTTGCTTGCTTATTGAAGGTATTTGGCTCAGTATTGAAGCCATTGGCTGAAGATGACAGCCAGGAAGCTAATATTTCCTGGAACTAGCGGGCAGCCTATATCCTAGAATTTAGGATACAGGGAGATGTTTTATTTGTATCTTCGTCTAGAATTAAAACCATTTTATAGAAATGTTTGGGCCAATGTCCTTGCAGACAGAGCAGATTACATCCATGGTGGTATGGACAGTTAGGCCCCGTTCACACTGAGCGATTTATCGCGGCTCATATTTCCACGCGATATCGCTCTATGTAGCTTCTCCAATCCATTTCAATGGAGCTGTTCACATCTCGTCGCTCAATATCGCTGGTAGCTTGTCGCTCCTACATGACCCTTTTTTCGAGCGATATTGCTCCTGATTGCATACAGCCCAATAGGAAAAAGTCGCGCGATATCGCTCAATATCGCTCGTTGCGCAATATCGCTCAAAATCGCGCGATTTTCATGTCGCTCAGTGTGAATGGGGCCTTAGTGATGTGTGTCACCGGATGCTTCTTTCTCTTTATTCGGTGTGGACGTATTTTCAGTGTCAGAGCTGCCAACCTCTTTTTCTTTACAATAGGTGGAAGACGTCACGCACTTGAAGTCAAGTTGTAAAATCAAATTCTATTTCAACTCCAACCCTTATTTCAAGAACGACGTGGTCATCAAGGAGTTCCAGTATGGCACCTCTGGTGAGTGGAGTGTCTGGGCCCGGCCACTTCTGGTGCTTTCAGATGAGTTCCTATGGAGCGCGTGATCTGATAGTTTGTTGTCTTTTTGCATTTTTTTCAGTTTTGCTTTGCACACCAAGTGTTTGTTTTGAAGCTATTCTGATTATTGGTGTATATTTAGGGTGATGTGATAATATTATAAAGGTAGAATAGAATTAAGATCAATTTAAAAAGGAACTGAACACTGGAAGCTGTGCCCATGCAAATGGCTAGTTACCGGTCTCCCTGCAGTTGATCTTTGCCCCATTACGGACTGTAGCTGGCCAAACACTATGCAAATTCCAGTTCTTGATGTACCAGCTGATGGAAGGAGTCGGTTGGAAAATCTTTGCGCGAACAGAGCTGGCAGCCAATGAGCTGCCTGCTCTGTTCGGGTATTCTGACAGCGGCCGGTGGCGGCCATCAGAATACAGTGAAGACAGCGGGGAATTCCTTCGGCAACTCTCATAAGCTTTGATGGCGGAATCTGCCCACAGGTTGAGCAAAGAAAATATTACAGTGCATGGCCAGCTTTACATTGTCCTGTTCTGTAGAGATGAGCTTGTGTTGGGGCGAAGGTCCCGGATGAGCTTGTGTTGGGGCGAAGGTCCCGGATGAGCTTGTGTTGGGGCGAAGGTCCCGGATGAGCTTGTGTTGGCGCGAAGGTCCCGGATGAGCTTGTGTTGGGGCGAGGTCCCGGATGAGCTTGCGTTGGGGCGAAGGTCCCGGATGAGCTTGCGTTGGGGCGAAGGTCCCGGATGAGCTTGCGTTGGGGCGAAGGTCCCGGATGAGCTTGCGTTGGCGCGAATGTCCCGGATGAGCTTTCGTTGTTTTTAAAATACGGTTGAGATAAGGAAATTTTTAAGGTCCCGGATGAGCTTGCGTTGGGGCGAAGGTCCCGGATGAGCTTGCGTTGGGGCGAAGGTCCCGGATGAGCTTGCGTTGGGGCGAAGGTCCCGGATGAGCTTGCGTTGGGGCGAAGGTCCCGGATGAGCTTGCGTTGGGGCTCATCGGCTCAGATTATGAGGCTGAGTGAAAATCACTCGCCTCATAATTCTCCTTTTTTAAAATACGGTTGAAATAAGGAAATTTTTAAACATTGGTTTTGTATTTATATTTCTAATATAGGGCGCCTCACTTCCCACTCCACTCCCATCCGATGGTGGCGGGGACAAAACTCAGACTCGTACCATGGTAAATCTGGCAACTCCACGCCTAGTTTTTTCAGCTGGTTCAATGATCACAGCTTCCCAGCAGCTGACCGCATAGCAACGGTAAGTCGCATGACATGTTTGTAGCGTCTGGTGCTAAAACAATTGTGTATTTATAGCCAGTTATATACTCTGTTATTGCTAAGGGCCCCAGTACGGTCTGACTTTGTAATGATTTGTCAGGCAAGCATGTGGTAGTCGCATACAGTTCAGAGCTGACATTTTTACATACGCATCAGTCCCTGTCGTCAAGGAGCTTACAATCTAAGGTCCCTATCTCACATACATAACGGGCTGGGAGGACACCGGAGTACCCGGAGGAAACTTAAGCAAGCGCCGGGAGAACATGCAATTTCCTTGTCCTGATTGGGATTCGAACCGGGGACCCCCCAGTGCTGCAAGGCAGGACCACTAAGCCACTGTGCTGCCCGTGCATCTTTTTGAATGCTGTCAAAGCATTTCATATGCTAAATAAATTTGGTCAGATTGTCTTTAAAGGAGAACTATGGGGTCAGTGTTTTCCCCCATAGTTCTCCTTAGGGTAACGGGAGGACACAAACTAGCGTCCTCCCGTCACCCAAAGCTCAGTATATAGGGAGCTACAGCTCGCGGTATACTGAGACGCCGCAGCCGGGACGGATCCCAACGTTACTGTCTGGATCCGCCCAGCTGCCTGAGTGACAGCTGGCTCTGCCTATCTGGAGGCAGAGCCAGCTGTACCCTCCCCCATCCGTTCTGCCAGTCAGCGCTGGAGGATCGGAGGGGGGAATGACAGGTTCGAGAGGTGAGCGAACGCTGGTATATGTTCGCTGACCTGTGACAGTCTCATTGTCGCCGGTCGGCTAGAACTATGAGGGGAGTGAAAATCACTCCCCTCATAGTTCTCCTTTAATGCCTAGGGGACATGAAAAAGCTGTTTTTCTCACCCGATCTCTCCCAGAAGTCAGCGCTCTCCTCTTCTTCTTTACCTCTGGTCCAGCTGCTGACTGTCCTTCAGCCCTCTCGCGTACAATGCATGGCCATGGAGTGAAGGGGAGAGCAGGCTGCAGGAACCGGTCTAGTAGCCGGGGGTCAGGTAAGTAATTCGGCTTTATCCTGTCCCCTAAGCATGAATGACCAGTTAACCCTTGCAGTGTGGAGCCAGCCACGAGAAAACTTCGAAGTTGGGCTTTAAATCTTGACACCATCAAATGTCCACCCTCCTCCTCCACCCCC